AGACATGCATGTCTCTCTATCAGTGTTATAGAGGGCGAACAATTTATGAGTTTATAAGTTTATGAGTGTCTAACCTAACCCTGTATAAGCTGTATATAGGGTAAAATGGAGTTATTTAGGTTTAGACCCCATTGGGAGTTGGGCATCTGAGTGTTAAAGATAGGAACACTTCTGTGAGCGGTTTTCAGGTAAACCTGCAGCTTTGGGGCAAGTAATTCAGACCCTGGGTCTGTGTTGGAGCAGACGGGCGTGGCTGGCTCAGCAAGACAGGGTGCTGGAGTCCTGAGCTGGCAGGGAAAACAGGGGTAGAAGTATCCTTGGCACATCAGGTGGCATCTCCCAAGGGGGTTTCTGTGATCCAACCCGTCACAGTGGCGTAGTCGAGCAGGGTCTGTGCACAGCTGATTGCTTTGAGACACTGGTCGTGATTTTAAGTGAGTTTTAAGTGTGGTGGCTGGAGAACAGACCAAGTGGTTACTGGTTTGTTATTTTCTGTTTGCTTATTTCGGGCAAGAGAAGTAGGGACAGAAAAGGAAGCAAAATAAGTAAGAGTGAAGATCAGAAGAAGCTAGAACTACACAAGTTGCAAATTGCCCAGAAAGGCTGAACAATGGGCGCTGGGAAAGTCCCTGAGCTGAGTGCATCTCAGTTTCAGTGAACTGCAGACGGGTGTGGCCCAACCTCTGTGTCTGTGCTGAAGCTCACTGGAGTGTCTAACATAGCAAGACAGGAGTGGAGGGGGGGGGCTGTTCTGGCAGGAGGGGGTTCTCTGTGTGATCCCAGCTCATGGAGTGACGGTCTCAAGGGAAGAGAAATGGAAATTGATGTACAGTTTGCCCGGGAAAAGGCTGCCCACCAGCCTGGACTTAAGAGACAAAGCCATTAAGACCCAGAAGCAGGGACTGGCTGTAATGGAGCGGAAGAGGGGCACAGAGACATGTATCCTGGAGCTGGAAGTTGGGGTCCTGGTGACTGCTGCGGTGGGAACAAACCCCAAGGACTCTAGCTGGAAGCAAACCCAACCTGAGTGAAAGGGGGGGGATTTGGCTGGCCAGCGAAAGGTCCGTCATAGCTGGTATCTGTGAGCCTACAGCTGGATCAGAGTCTCTTTCCCCTTTGGGGGACACAGGAGTGTCTGCCCCATAGGGGAGCCCCAAAACGAATTTTAGGTAAACTGGCTCCGCCATGGTCAGTGTCCAAGTCTCCGGCAGTAAGTGCAGAAGGAGGGTGTGCCATGGTTTTATAAAAATATGCTAATGAGGGAATATGGTCTCTTGTAAAGGTATCTACAAAAGGTCTCTTGTAAGGTATCATTACAAAGCTTATAATCTACTGAGTGTGATCATCCTATTTCTATAAATGTATCGCTCTTGTATCTGGAACTAGACATATGAGATATAACTCTGAGGGCCTATAACACACCGGGTGGCAGCTCCCAAGGGGGTCTCCGTGATCTAACCCATCACAGCGGCCACCTCGGGGGTGGGACACGGGGGCTGGTTATAAAGGGACCCCTCACCCGGCACTGGGATGTGGCCACCTCTGGGGTGGGGCGCTGGTTATACAGGAACCCCTTGCCTAGTGCTGGGTTGCAGCCCCTCTGGGGAAGGGCATCAGTTGGGCAGGGCGCCGGGGTTCACACCCTGACTCTGGGTGAAGCTGCAGAAGGATCTGATGCCCATGACCAATTGGCGCCAGCTGTTTACATCCACTCCATGGGGTCGTCCCTTCCCCGCTGTGCTGGGGCTCGTCACCCTGTGATGTTCCCCTCCTCAGGATCCGAGGCCGGATAACATGGGCACGTGGAGATCCCCACAGTTAATCCCCCCTTGGGTCTTCCCCACAAGGGCTCCGGACCCTGGCTCTGGGGTGACATGTGAATCGCCACTTGCGGGGAGCAGTGTGGGGGCTAGGACACAGAGTGGAGCAGTTCTGAATCCCCCCTGCAGGGGGCGAGGGGGCTGTTTTCCATTGAACGAGGCTTTGTTGCTATTCAGCGTGTGCGGAAGAGTCCCCTCAGCTCCACCATCGTGGCCCCTGCATGAGTTGCCCCCCTTCCTGAGATCCGGGCCCCTGCAGCCTCCAGACCCACAGATCGGCCTGGAGAGACACAACTGACCCACATCCACCTGCCTCTGGGCGCTCAGACATCAGCCGTCTCCCCATTGCCTCAGTTTCCCTTAACTCCTGAATAAAGAGCCCCCCTGAGCCTGCTAGTCCCTGCCCTGAGGCCGGATCAGAACTGATGCCCCCTATACAGGAAAGAGCCCGGGCCCCCTTCCCCCACCCCCTTGAGCCAGCCAGTCCCTGCTGTGTGGCCGTTGCCCACAGGCTGTTGTGAAACCCAGACAGTGGGTGGTGGGAGGCCCCAGGAAAAGAATTTCCTGTTGAGATACCGAGCCGGACGCTTCCTCCCCAGAGCCAGTCGCACCGTCCGTTGCTCCCCAGGTGCCGCTTCCTCCTCTGGGCCCCCAGCACCATGGGTCCCTCTCCTGCCCTGCTCCTCGCCCTGGGTGAGTGTGTCCCTGCGCCCGCCTCGGGGGTCTTCTCCCCTCCCTAAGGGGGTGGGACGGGGCTGGTTCAGCCTCCCTGAGTCCTTGGTGTCTGGTGGCACCTTAAAGACTAACAGATTTATTCGGGCATAAGCTTTTGTGGGTAAAAACCTCACTTCTTATATATAATGCCTGCATCTGTAACTTTCACTCTATGCATCCGAAGAAGTGAGGTTTTTACCCACGAACGCTTATGCCCGAATAAATCTGTTAGTCTTTAAGGTGCCACCAGACTCCTTGTTGTTTTTGTAGATACAGACTAACACGGCTACCCCCTGATACCTGAGTCCTTGGTGGGTCCCCATTGCGAGGGGGGGACCCAGGGAGAGCCCCCTAACCCACACACAGCCCCGGTCCTCCCCCACACCCTGGCCCCACAACCAGCCTTGGTCCTCCCCCGTACAGCCCCTTGGTTATCCACCCCACAGCTCCCCCCATGCCCACCATCTCCCCTTCACTCCCACACACAGCCCTCTGCCTAGCCCCACCCCACAACCCCCCCTCCCCTAACCCGCGTCCGGGAGCTCTTCCTAAGCGGGTTAGACCAGGACTGGGCTGGGGGGTGGAGGTGTGGTGGGGATGTGCGTGGGGCTGAATTTGGCCTGGACCCCAAAATTGAGGTCCCTGGAAGTAGCTTGTATTAGGTGCCTGGGTAAGGGAGACATGGGGGGCGTGCTGAACCGTCCCCTCCCCCAGCGCTTTGGGGAAGTTGGCAGCATGAGACTGGCAGTGGCTACCCATTGCACAAGCAGTGTCCCGCCCCCGCTTCCCCCGCACACACACCCTCCGGCCTATTCTGTGCCTCCGGGTTGGAATCTGCCTCCCAGCGCCACCTCCCCACAAGCCGGGCAACTCTTCCCACGGTGACCCCCATCCCCTCTCCAGTCCACACCCAAAGCCCTGTGGATTCTGGGCTAGGCACAGCAATCCCCAGTCAACAGCCGGACCCCTGATTCCTCAGCTAGTGGGGTGCAAATTCCCCAGCGAGGGCCCTGGCTCGTGCACGGACCCCGGCGTCCGGGGCCAGATTCTGCATCCCCCCTCACGCTGCAGGTGTGCTGTGGAGCCAGGGTTCAAACTCTTGATTTCCCCAGGGAAATAGCTGCCAGCAACAGCATTTGGTGCATCATCATTAGGGTTCAGGGTTAACACATATGATCGCACCCCACATCTGATGCAGGCTGGCTGCAAACTTTGGCCTACAATGGCTGCAAACGCCCATGGGCTGGCACAGGACTGTGGCCCCGATGATGTAGCACGGGGGTGTGGGCAGGATGTGGTCTCACATTCCCCCGCATCAAACACCCACTTCTCATTACAGGCATCATCTGGACTCGCCTCCCATTCGCTGCTGCTTGTGAGTCGCCTGCAGAAACCAGCTTTGTCCAAGGAGGGGTCTGGGAGATATGATGGGGGGGTGGGACACCCTGCCTCAGAAGAAAGGGGCACCAGGGGAGCAGGATGGAGGGGTAGATTCAAGGATAGGGGACAGTGGGCCCCAGGGCAGGGACTGGCTGGGTTAGGAGAGCAAGGAACAGAGCAGGGAATGGGGCCTGGGGCCTTTCCCCTCTAGGGGGCGCTGGCTCCCATCTGGCCCCAGGGCAGGGACTGGCTGGCTCGGGGGGGGGCAGGGAATGGGACAAGGGGCCTTTCCCCTCTAGGGGGTGCCGGCTCCCATCCGGCCCCAGGGCAGGGACTGGCTGGGTCAGGGGGTGGGGAATGGGGCACCTATAGGGGGTGCTGTGCCTCACAGCCTGTGTCCATCCCTCTGCAGCATCCCCCTACTCCAAGCCCTCCATCTCCCTCAGCCCCAGTGGGGAGATCGCACCGGGGACGGACATCACCATCTCCTGCCACGGGCCGCAGCAGGGCGTGCGGTTCAAGATGTACCGGGCCGGGGTCGCACGGTGGCACACGGAGCCGGCTGGCTCGACAGCCGAATTCCGCATCCCCAACGCTCGGCGGGAGGATGGGGGCATCTACACCTGTAGCTACGAGAGCCTGACAGAGCCGCCTGTCAGCTCCCCCCACAGCGACCCCGTGCAGCTGGTGGTAGAAGGTGAGGGGGTGTCTGCTATAGCCTAGTTCCAGAACTCAGGAGTCCTGGGTCCATGCCCCCACCTCCTGCTCTAACCACTAGCCCCCACTCCCCTCCCAAATCCAGGGATAGAACCCAGGAGTCCTGGCTCCCAGCCCCCTGCTCTAACCACTAGACCCCACTCCCCTCCCAAATCCAGGGATAGAACCCAGGAGTCCTGGCTCCCAGCCCCCCTGCTCTAACCACTAGACCCCACTCCCCTCCCAAAGCCAGGGATAGAACCCAGGAGTCCTGACTCCCAGCCCCCCCTGCTCTAACCACTAGACCCCACTCCCTTCCCAGAGCCGGGGAGAGAACCCAGGAGTCCTGGCGCCCAGGCCCCCCTGGTCTAACCACCAGCCCCAATTCCCATATTACACTTGTGGCGTAATATTTTCAAATAAAACGTGCACTTGTTTGTAACAAGAAGGCTTTATCGGTGCTTTTAGTAGAATTATTTCTTCTATTTCAAAGTTTTGGTAAAGCCTTGGGAAAATTGTATCTCAAAACCATTCATTTCATTTCCGAATGTTGTTAAACCCGACTTTAATTTAGGAGAGTCACATTTTATTTCAAAAACATATGAAACCTTTAATGTAAAATGGATTGACGCGAATGTACATTTTTTTTTATTATTTTATTTTATTTCCATATTTTATTCCAAATTACATTTAACTGAATGGACATGGGTGTGAGGATAGAGATATTCAGGCCTGCCTGCAAAGGCCTAGACTTTAAGAACTTAGATGTATTTTTATCACTTAGCTAGTTACAGGGGTATAAAAACAAAGAATCAAAACCACGGTCCGCCTGTGTCTGGGCCTTCGCTCACTGTGACAGCCTGAGGCCTGGTTCTTAGGCTAAGGCCTTCGGCTAAGCAGCAGGGGCCAGCCATAAACTGGGAAGCGAATGTCACATCCTCACATCTAGGGTGACCATATTTCCACAATCAAAAAAGAAGACACTTGGGGGGGGGAGAGCCCTACCCCATCCACTCCCTCCCACTTCCCAGCCCCTGACTGCCCCCCTCAGAACCCCCAACCCCCCCTGCTTCTTGTCTCCTGACTGCCCCCTGCTGAGAACCCCCCACCCTAACTGCCCTCCTAGGACCCTACCTGTCCCGACTGCCCCGACCCTTATCCACTCGCATGGGTGGCAGGTTTGTAGAAATTTTGGTGGTGCCCAGAAACCCCACACACACACCTGCCTAAGGCTCTGGGAGGGGGGTTGGGAGGGGGGAGGAGGTCTGGGGTGCAGGTCCTGGGCTGGGGATTAAGGTGCAGGAGGGGTGCAGGGTTCTGGGATAGAGTTTGGGTGCTGGGTGCAGGCTCCGGGCTGGGAGTGGGGGTGTAGGAGGGGGTGAGGGGTGCAGGCTCTGGGATGGAGTTTGGGGGTGGGAAAGGGAGGGGGTTTAGGCTTTGGGAGGGAGTTTGAAGGCAGGAGGGGGTGTGTGGGAAGGGGAGGGGGTTTGGGAGGGAGTTTGGGGATAGGAGGGGATGCAGGGGTGGGGGCTGTGGGTCTGAGGATGAGGCGTTCATGATGCAGGAGGGGGCTCAGTGGATGGAGCAGAGGATTA